AACATGAGAGAACCTTGCCACCACCACCACCAAGAGCACTGACTCCTCCTGCGTGCGTGTGTCTGAGAGCAGTTTAGCCTTCGCTGAATTTCTTAACCTGCTTCGTGAAGCTCCGAGGACATTTAGCCAAATTCCCAAGGTTTTGACGGAGTGTGTGTGTGGAGGTTATCTTGAGGTTATCTTGAGATGATTTCGGGGCTTTAGTGTCCCCGCGGCCCGGTCCTCGACCAGGCCTCCACCCCCAGGAAGCAGCCCGTGACAGCTGACTAACTCCCAGGTACCTATTTACTGCTAGGTAACAGGGGCATTCAGGGTGAAAGAAACTTTTGCCCATTTGTTTCTGCCTCGTGCGGGAATCGAACCCGCGCCACAGAATTACGAGTCCTGCGCGCTATCCACCAGGCTACGAGGCCCCTCGTACACTCTTCAGGTACACTCGGGTGACTGGGGCTCTTGGCGGCCAGCAAGAGATGCTATCTTACGCCATGTGAGTTTTTTTGGGGAGTTAATGGTTGTGAAGGAGAATAATTCTGCTTTCTAAGAGTTAGCTTTCTCTTTCTCTTTCTAGGAATGCTTGTGTGTGTACTGACTTATCTGTGCTTGCAGAATCGATCATTAGCTCTTGGACTCTCGCCTTTCTAGTCGGTGTTTTTTTTTTTTTTAAACAATTACTCCTGTTCTTGATTTAATCAACTAACCACTTGAGGTGGAGGGTAGAGTGACGGTCACCTTACATGCAGGTCGGTGTTCAATCCCCGACCGTCCAAGTGGTTGGGTACCATTGCTTTTCCACCGTCCCATCTCAAATCCTTATCCTGAACTTTTCCAAGTGCTATATAGTCGTAATGGCTTGGGCCCTTTCTCCTGATAGTTCCCTTCCCCCCTTCCTGTCCTATTTCCTTATCATATCTTCAATTAAATTGATGAACAATGTTGGCGTCTACAACCTCCTCTTATAGTTCATCTAAGTTTTCCCACCACTCTTGTGCGAAATTAAAAGTTCTAACATTTAAATGACTCATTCGAGTTTCAACATTCTACCCGTGCCCCCCTTGTTCTCTGGGTATTCAGGGTAAACATATTACCTATTTCCACTCTGTCCATTCCCCCCTAAGTATTCTGTACGTCTTTATCATGTCTCTCTCTCTCTCTCTCCTTTTCTCTAGCGTCGTCAACTACATTGTGTGTTGGTTAAATATTTTAATTTACTATTGGTGTCTGTAGAATCGAACTATTAGCTCTTGGACCCCTGTCTTTCTAACCAATCTATTTTTCCTATATTGTCGATTACATAAATTTCTTTCTCTAACAAACACACGCACACACGCACACACATCCCAAGGGTGCAGTCATTGCTTTAAACAACCGAAAGCAAGATCCAAGACCTAACGCTCGATCTTGAAGGTACAAATAGGTGAGTACACATCCCCCAGGAAGCAGCCCGTAGCAGCTGTCTAATTCCCAGGTACCCAAATCATTTACTGCTAAGTGAATCGGGGTAGCAGCGTGAAAGGAACTCTGCTCATCAGTTTCTGTCTTGGCCGGGAATTGAACCCGGGCCCTTAGGATTATGACCCCCGAGCGCTGTCCACTCAGCCGCGAGGCTCCATGGCTGTGTGTGTGTGTGTGTGTGTGTGTGTGTGTGTGTGTGTGTGTGTGTGTGTGTGTGTGTGTGTGTGTGTGTGTGTGTGTGTGTGTGTGTGTGTGTGTACTTACATACCAATTTAAGATCAAACAAAAGTTTCACTTTTCTTCACATCAGTTCACCGTAACGAGTCCCAGTAAACACACACACCTGTAAACATACACCTGTAAACACACACACACCTGTAAACACACACACCTGTAAACCCGCTTCCAAATCTGAGCCACATTCTGTGTTACGTATCCAAACAGAATTACAAATTTAACTTCAAGTTACTCAAGTCTCTAAAAAGGCATATTAATATATTATCATAACCTTATATCAGTTGGTAAGATTCTGAATTATGTCTTGGAAGGAGAGTACTATGACAAAGAAGACCTGGGAGTAGTGGGTACTAATGAGGTCCATATTTGGTACCCCTTGGCCACCTGGTCGAACACACTTCAGCACCAAAATACTTGTCCTCTGCGGAGGTCCTCAGTGAGGAGCCAGGCTCAGGCAAGGAATAGTTGACTTACACAGTTTTAATATCTTGAGGTTATCTTGAGATGATTTCGGGGCTTTTTTAGTGTCCCCGCGGCCCGGTCCTCGATCAGGCCTCCACCCCCAGGAAGCAGCCCCGTGAAGCTGACTAAACACCAGGTACCTATTTTACTTGTAGGTAACAGGGGCATAGGGTGAAATAAACTCTGCCCATTGTTTCTCGCCGGCGCCTGGGATCGAACCCAGGACCACAGGATCACAAGTCCCGCGTGCTGTCCGCTCGGCCGACCGGCTCCAGAGCAGACAGCTCACATGGGCGCTCAACTATTGCACCCGGGAGATGTAATATCGTTCCGGTAGCTCTAATAGCTCTTCTGGGCCCCGGATGTCTGTGAAAACAGTTGTGCTCTCGTAAATTAGAGCGGCATTACGAACAGGCGCGAGACCAGCAAGGCCCCAGGTGTCCAGCAACACTCCCAGGCGTCCAGCAACACGCCCAGGTGTCCAGCAACACGCCCAGGCGTCCAGCAACACGCCCAGGCGTCCAGCAACACGCCCAGGCGTCCAGCAACACGCCCAGGTGTCCAGCAACACTCCCAGGCGTCCAGCAACACTCCCAGGTGTCCAGCAACACGCCCAGGTGTCCAGCAACACGCCCAGGTGTCCAGCAACACTCCCAGGTGTCCAGCAAACACGCCCAGGTGTCCAGCAACACTCCCAGGCGTCCAGCAACACGCCAGGCGTCCAGCAACACGCCCAGGCGTCCAGCAACACGCCCAGGTGTCCAGCAACACTCCCAGGCGTCCAGCAACACTCCCAGGTGTCCAGCAACACGCCCAGGTGTCCAGCAACACTCCCAGGCGTCCAGCAACACGCCCAGGTGTCCAGCAACACTCCCAGGTGTCCAGCAACACTCCCAGGTGTCCAGCAACACTCCCAGGCGTCCAGCAACACGCCCAGGCGTCCAGCAACACGCCCAGGTGTCCAGCAACACTCCCAGGCGTCCAGCAACACGCCCAGGCGTCCAGCAACACGCCCAGGCGTCCAGCAACACGCCCAGGTGTCCACCAACACTCCCAGGCGTCCAGCAACACGCCCAGGCGTCCAGCAACACTCCCAGGCGTCCAGCAACACGCCCAGGTGTCCAGCAACACGCCCAGGTGTCCAGCAACACGCCCAGGCGTCCAGCAACACTTCCAGGTGTCCAGCAACACGTCTGAGGTTGGTAATGTGGCAGGTGTTGTGGGGTGAGGGCGGTGGCGAGGCGGGCGGAGGGGACGAGGGCGGGGCGCAGTAGTGAGGTTGGTATGTACGAGGAGGAGGAGGAGGAGGAGGCCATGTGTGGTCCTCGTCCCCACAACCATGACAAGGCTAAACCCTGCCTTGCGCTACGGTCGCTCCTCCTTACCTGAAGGTCGCGTGGCTGCGACCATCTGGCAGGCGCGGGCAGCCAGGGAGAGGAAGGACAGGCCGGAGGGGCCACGGGGGGAAAAGAGAAGGTTTTCCTCTTTCTATCCGCAAGATGTCCTTGGGGGGGGGGCCAATTTCTAAGGTGCTTGTCAAGAGGCACTCAAGAGGCACTCCGGACTTGGACTTGACGGCAAGCTAAGCTGCGGCTAACCTGTGAGCTTTACTCCGCCTCACCTCAATGTGATCGGGAGGGTTAACCTCGCCCGCGATAACATCTCGCGGGGACTGGCTCAAACAATGCCATAACCAGTGATAACCTTCCCTCCAGGGCGGGCCAGGTAAGGACTCCGCTGTCTGCCTGTCCCCAGGCACTTGTGGAGAATACCGCCTCTCCTGCCAACCCGTTCTCGCAAATTTAATAAGTCAATATTGACTTATTAAATATGTGAATAGGTGACATACTTAACATAATAGATACCCTTAAAAAGATTCATAGAAAACACCGACCTTACCTAACCTACTTAGTATGTTAAGATAAGCATCTTATTGCTTCGTAATTACAATTATTTCCTAACCTATAATAGGTATAGGTTAAGTAATAATTGTAATTACGAAGCAATAAGATGCTTATCTTAAGATACTAACAAGGTTAGGTAAGGTCGGTGTTTTCTATGAATCTTTTTAAGGATATCTATTATGTTTAGTATATCACCTATGCACGTAGTTAATAAGTCAATATTGACTTATTAAATTTGCGAGAACGGGTTGCTCCTGCATGCTAGATCAACACCCCTGGCGTCTTAAGACACCCGAAGGTGACACCTGACCAGTCAGGAGCCTTCACTGTCAGCCGCTGAGTCTCCTGCAGCTGGTGCTGGCCTCCGGACTGGCCACAGGTGCCGTCACGGGTGACACGTTCAAGTCAGCAACGTATAAGGCCGCGTTACACACAGTTAAGCCAATATGGATAATGACCAGATAGAGGTTTGGTCTTGGGCACCCACGCTGCCACGACCACGGTCTTTAGTGCCTCAATAACCTCCCTCCAGGTACAGCACGGGGGGAGGGAGGGGAGGGGAGGGGGGGGAGAGGAGAGAGAGAGAGAGAGAGAGAGGGGGAGAGAGACGAGGAGAGAGAGAGCGAGAGAGAGAGATGAGGAGAGAGAGAGAGAGGAGAGGAGAGAGCGGGAGAGGATGGAGGAGGCGGGGGGAGGAGATTGAGAGAGAGATGGAGGAGTGAGAGAGAGGAGATGGGATGAGGAGGAGAGTAGAGTGGCGAGAGGAGAGATGAAGAGGAGAGAGAGAGAGAGGAGGAGAGCACGAGAAGAAGAACCGATGGAGGAGAGAGAGAGAGAGGGAGTGAGCAGACGATTGAGAGAGAGAGAGAAAGAGTAGAGAGAGAGTGAGAGAACAGTATCTGATGACGGGGAGGATCACTTCATGAGAACCATGACAGAAACGATATGAATGAACAGACTGAACATGTGAGAGGGAGCTACGCCCTCTTCCTCATGAGGAGAGATGATGTGAGACGGAGGGAGGAGCCAGAGAGAAACAGCGAACAGCGCAGCGTCACCTGTCCGAGGAACTCCATGTTTCCCGGAGGAGTTGCCCCGACGCCTCTTACTGGTGGAAGTGCGTCCTTCCTGACTCCTCCCAGCTTGCCGCCCGCGCCGCCACACAGCAGTAAGCAGAGTAAGTCGTGATAACGGCCAACTTGACTAGAACCTCTCACCTGATAGCAAATTCGCGGCTAACTTGACAGAGACTGGGTGTACGCCCTCGCCGACTGCCCCAACACACGGAGACGCGAATCAATGCCCGATTATTGGGCTCTAGAATCGTTATGGAGGTTTAATAACGTCAACAGGTCACAAAAAGGTGGAAAAATGGCATGGTGGCCAAAGGCTGGAGTGACGGGCGTTGGGTAGGGCGTCACCCGGGTAGGCGAGGAGGAGGCACCGCGGAGGGCAGCCGTGGCTGGCGCCGGGCACACACCCAGCCGTCGCTACCCCTCAATACCTCTCTACCGTCCTCAGAGGGACCTGCTCCACCACACTCACGGCTACATTAGGCTTTCCGTCGACGGAGTTCAACACGGGAGACATCTCCCGTCACGCAGGGTGCAGTCGCACCTCCACAGATCTCCAGTATCATCTATTGATACTGGAAATGGCTCAAAAGGGCCACCACTTATGGGCTATTCATGCCCGTGCCACCTTTTGGGTGGCTTCATCTTCATCTTAACACATTCACAAAGGAGACTCTCCCGTCATGCAGGGTGCAGTCGGCACCTCCACAGATCTCCAGTATCATCTATTGATACTGGAAATGGCTCAAAAGGGCCACCACTTATGGGCTATTCATGCCCAAGCCACCTTTTGGGTGGCTTAATCTTCTCTCTCTCTCTCTCTCTCTCGGAGTTCAAGCCGATTAATGGAGGTGGTGAGAGGAAGGAAGTGCACAAGGCGGGCGTGTGTGAGCAGCACCGCCCAGCGCGGCGCGGCGCCCCACCCACCCTCACATCTGCGCAACAACAAGCTATGGCCAGGTCGACCCGCTGCTGCGCCTCCACCACGGTGGTAAACAAGCTTCTCTCTCACAGCCCGGGGAAACCTCAAGGGCAAGCCCGAGACGCACACATGGGATGAAACAGGTGGCGCTTACCGCAGCGCTCGCTGCCCTCAACCTCCCCTCCTCATCGACAATCATGGCAGATCGTTAAATATAACGAGGGAAGGTCCTGTGTATAGAAGGTCAGTTTAGGGAGATTACAGGCGATTCTTTACCTGCCGAGGATCCCCCAGGGCGCCTCTTGAGTGCGGTGGGAGTGGCGTGGTCTCCGCCCTGCAACACAACACCCACAGATGTTTCGTCTTGGTAGGCTCCCAGCCTACCTCTCACTTGTTGCTAGGATTCGCCATGGACCATCTTCCTTTTACGCCTTAAATGCACTCGAACGGCATTCAGATTTTCATGTAAATCAGGTCTGATGTCTACACAAACCTCGTACTTGAGCGACTGTGGCCGCTGTCGCTCAAGCAGAGATTAAGAATGAAAAGTAAGGGAGAAGTTAGGTAGATGTAGATTTTTTTCTTCGTGTTATGGAGGCAGACGAAGCATGTAGTTGAGAGCAGACGGAGAAGCGCTACTTATGGAGTTCTTCACATATGAAACTGGTGGCGTACACTTGGCTCAGTGAGGTGCACTAGTTTTACCTTTCCTGTTTTGGGCAGCACCTTAATGTTCACACTGCATAATTCTCCTTTTATAAACTCTCTCTCTCTCTCTCTCTGTCTCTCTCCCCGCAAGCTCCAACACTTGTCTGACAAAGTCAAATGACTAGCGCTGCATTCCCAGTCCCAAGGCGTCTGCCCTGCGCGCTTCTCAATATGGGCAGTCTGTAAGCCTCGTAAACTGTTTGTCCATCTATGCGCTAACGTATGGAACCTTTCTCCATAATTTTTTGGGGCTCCTTACCTCTCTCTCGCACACGCGTTACGACCAGCGGCTCTTGTACTGTGGTCGCTAGCCAACCGTGCAGTCAGCTGGTATTCATATCAGCTGTTCACTGTTTACAAACAAAGCCATCGATCAGCTGGTGCTGGAGCAAAAATGTAAAAGTTGTAGTGATGGTAAAGCTGTTGGCGGTGGACGCCCAAAAAGTTTGCTTCTCTGTTTTTTTTTCTTGGATTTGTTTATAGGTTCTACCAGGAAAAAAAAAGTTAGCTGCATAATTAAACATGTGTAGTACATACGTGTTTTTGGTATGTTAACATCACACTTGCAGTTGGTAATTATAGCAGGTAAGCTCAGCTCTTGGTGTCCTGTCTTCCTTGAGTATACTTTAAATAGTTTCCTGCAATATATCGACCAACAACGAGTCAACTCATCAAAACGTAATTCCTGTTATCTTATATTCGCATTTTCTTTTTGGAGTTTACCTTATATTCACATTTTCTTTTTGGAGTTTACCTTATATTCACATTTTCTTTTTGGAGTTTACCTTATATTCACATTTTCTTTTTGGAGTTTACCTTATATTCACATTTTCTTTTTGGAGTTTACCTTATATTCACATTTTCTTTTTGGAGTTTACAACTATTCCCTTAAGGGAGCCGGTCGGCCGAGCGGACAGCACACTGGACTTATGATCCTGTGGTCCTGGGTTCGATCCCAGGCGCCGGCGAGAAACAACGGGCAGAGTTTCTTTCACCCTATGCCCCTGTTACCTAGCAGTAAAATAGGTACCTGGGTGTTAGTCAGCTGTCACGGGCTGCTTCCTGGGGGTGGAGGCCTGGTCGAGGACCGGGCCGCGGTGACACTAAAAAGCCCCGAAATCATCTCAAGATAACCTCAAGATAAGAAGGTCTACTTACATCAGGTTTCACAAACGTGTTATTACCTATTGTTGGATATCTTTTTATAAAGGTTTACATTATCATGTCTTCATCTGTATGTCGTCCTCTCTGGACATGTCCGGAGCCGTCAGTGTTTCATTTAATATTTCTGAATCCATTTCAGTTCATGTATTTAGATTTATTTTTGTTAATATGTTTGTGAATGTGAAGACACCATGCATCGGATGCATAATCCACTTTAGGTATGACGAACGTGTGTATTTTTTGAGTCTATTCCTGCGAAGTGGTTGTGATTGCGTTGTTCCAGCTTCAAGTACTGAGTCTGCCATTTAATTTTCTATCAACTGGCTGAGTTAATACTTCATTCCTTATGACTTTGTTGAAAATCTCTTCTGGTAAATTGAACTTTTTTTCTCTATTAGATCAGCGTTCCTGTCACACCGGCCTGTTACTCTTATCTTGAGATTATCTTGAGATGATTTCGGGGCTTTAGTGTCCCCGCGGCCCGGTCCTCGACCAGGCCTCCACCCCCAGGAAGCAGCCCGTGACAGCTGACTAACACCCAGGTACCTATTTACTGCTAGGTAACAGGGGCATAGGGTGAAAGAAACTCTGCCCAATGTTTCTCGCCGGCGCCTGGGATCGAACCCAGGACCACAGGATCACAAGTCCAGCGTGCTGTCCGTTCGGCCGACCGGCTCCCCTACTCTATGTTGGATATCAGCCTCGTATAGTCCATTATGTCAAAAGGTATTGTTGGCATCTACAGATTGATTGATTGCTTGATGAAGATTAAGCCACCCAAGAGGTGGCACGGGCCTGAATAGCCCGTAAGTGACATCCACAAATATACAGCCTAAAAATGTTTTTATTTCCTGTCTCGTCTCAATGAGCCTAGTATAGGCCTCATGTAATTTAGGTAAACAAGATTTATTTTCGTAAATACATCCAGGTGTTGTGTGAGGACGTTCGTGCCCACTGTGTATACTTTCATTATATTATATATCATTATTTTAATATTTGTTTATACTTTCATTATATTATACATCATTATTTTAATATTTGTTCCTGGTATATATGGTATGTAGCTTATGGTGACACGTTACTTGTGTTTTCTGAACGCTGGTTGTCCGTTTGCTATAGTGCAGATGACTAGTAGATATCCTAACTCCAATCACCTTTCTATCTGTATGTGTGGTTATCTTGAGGTTATCTTGAGATGATTTCGGGGCTTTTTAGTGTCCCCGCGGCCCGGTCCTCGACCAGGCCTCCACCCCCAGGAAGCAGCCCGTGACAGCTGACTAACACCCAGGTACCTATTTACTGCTAGGTAACAGGAGCATAGGGTGAAAGAAACTCTGCCCATTGTTTCTCGCCGGCACCTGGGATCGAACCCAGGACCACAGGATCACAAGTCCAGCGTGCTGTCCGCTCGGCCGATCGGCTCCCTTATGGTATGCTAATGCCATTGGTATTCAAGGCGACAGTGTCTTAGGCAAAATTGTTTTTTGTGTTTAACTCTGTCAGGAGAGTAAAAATCAATACATATTGTTTACGTTGACCAGACCACACACTAGAAAGTGAAGGGACGACGACGTTTCGGTCCGTCCTGGACCGAACTGAAACGTCGTCGTCCCTTCACTTTCTAGTGTGTGGTCTGGTCAACATCAGCCACGTTATTGTGACTCATCGCCTGCATATTGTTTACAGTCACTCTGATTTAGTCTTCCTCCGTCTAAAACTGTCATATCTTGTAGGACAGGGCAGCCTCCTCTGAGCCTTCTGCCTTGTCATCACATCCTTCCTTGTCATTCTCTGTCAGCAGGGGTGTTTCTTAAGTCTAATCACCTCACCTTTTTCCCACATCTTCTTCTTGAAAAGACGGAGCAGAACTACGGACTTTCCTTAAAAAGGAATCCACAGGGAAATAGCAGTTAGGCTATATAGACTACGTCTAGGTTACAGATGCAACTGGGAGATTGGTGAACCCCGACAGAGAGAGTGCATCTTCTGCCAAACTGTCACAGAAAAGCCATTACTTCACTATCTTCTGGAATGTGAAGCAACCAATGACCTTAGAAGAGCTTTAAGAGTTCCTGAATCATGCAGTGGCCACCCTGAAGCCATCAACACAGCCACTCTCCTGGTCAACAAAGGTGTCCAGCAGCTGGACACCCTCATAAAGACTGTGAAGCAGTATTCTCCCCCACGATAACAGCTTGATGGTTAAATGCAACCTCAGAACACTGGGGGAAAAAAAAATTGGACCACTTACGGGCTATTCATGCCCGTGCCACCTCTTGGGTGGCTTAATCTTTATCAATCAATCAATCTACGGACTTTGTTCGTTTTCGTTTTGTTTGCTGTTTTTTCAGACTTGTTTGAGTATGTGTGTATCGCGTGTTTGATACGTTGACCTTCCTTTCAAAATGCGTTGAAAGGATATCATTTCTTGCACAATACTTACTGACCAAAGACGAAGGTCTAATAGATTTGGCATTTTCTAATATCAACTTCATTTAATTATGTAAATTGCTATATTATCTCCATCAAATACTAGGTGCGTTAGCCTATGTAAACACTAGTTCTGTCAAGATCATTCCTAGTTCAGCGTGTACACCAGTTACACCCATTGTAAGGCGCGCGCGCGCGCACACACACACACACACACACACACACACACACACACACACACACACACACACACACACACACACACACTTTGCTTGAGTAAGTAGGCTAACTAGGGGGGGGGGGGGCGACAAATTTGAAGATAATTGCCTTCAAGATTACCCGGTGTTGAAGATTCACCAGAAACACAGGGAATACGTGCGATAAATGTGTGTTCCTTCGTCTCCTGGACCCTCACGACACTGGAAGTCAGAGGAGACATGATCACTACCTACAAAATTATCAGAGGAATTGACAGGGTAGGTGATCCTAGGGGGACGCAGGTGGACACAGCATCTGGCGGTCTCTCACTAACCAAGCCTTCCAACACTCTCCACATATTCATGTAAACTCTTGAACCTCAGAGTACCATATACTCTCCTCCAGTGACGCACAGCAAGCCATTGTGGCTGATGGAGATAGACTGATAGATGGAGATAGACTGATAGGTCTAGCAGTCTATCTCCATCTATCTCCATTACCGTACACTCCACGGTAAACTCATTTTTGTTCTCCTGTGTATAAATTCTCAGCTCATGTAGAGTTATCGCAGTAATTAGAGACCTGAGACTTTACGCAAAGGGTTTGGTAATGTTCAGTGAGATTCCGTCAACTGAAAATGTCCATTAACTCCGAGCAGGACAAAAAAATAGGACGGGTTTTATCGGTATATAAATAGTGGTGGGGAAATCCAGTTTATTGTATAAATTATATACATATATACATATACGTACATTATATATCATTTGACATGTCTTCATCATCATTTTCATCATCCCAATCTTCACCATCTATTATATTTCTTCGTGTTATCTCTATCTATTTACTCTGATTCTCTCATTTTTGTACCTCTTTCCTTTGCATATTTACTGTCTCTTCGTAATACTTCCTTAAGGTTGTTCTTATTCCTCGACACATACACGGGAGACTTCAACGACTAACAGGTAGTGATCCAGAGTCTCTCTCTCTCTTGCGCTCTATCTTGAGGTTATCTTGAGATGATTTCGGGGCTTTAGTGTCCCCGCGGCCCGGTCCTCGACCAGGCCTCCACCCCCAGGA